ACCCCAACAACCCAACAAAAACACAACAACAACAACAAACAAACAGGCTTGTCTTGTCCGCTGGAAGACAGTCACCTCCGTTTATAAAGAAAGAAATTTTGTTTGTAAAAGGGGCGGGGCAATCTCTGTGCAGCGCCAAATTACAAATTCTCTTTGGCATGTGTACATATACATCACAAGAGAATTACTATGTTATAGTAAGTGTGAGAAGTTATGCAGTTGGTTGTTGTTGTGCAAAGTGTGGGTGGTGAAGCATGTAGAAGGGTGTGGCTACATAAGGCGTGGGAATGCTGCAGGTGGCATTCGCAGTCACCATGAAGCAGAGTTCGTTTTCTTTCTCATACTGCACAATCCAGTCGACGCACTGCTAACCTTACGTCGACGACGTCTTAACTTTGGGCACACACAGATTACGAGCGGGCGGAGCTTCCGAAGCCACTTCAGACACGTCTGTCAAGGAAAAATGTTTAACGCAACAAGGAGGATGAAAATCTTTGACTTCCAAGGACATGTACATGAAAGACCTTGTTAGCAAAAAGCTTGCTGTTACCCGAGCAATGAATTTGTAAAAGTTTCACCCTGATTGCCAAAGATATGCAATGCCAGTTTATACGGGGTTCCGGTTGCTATTCGAGCATTTCCAGTAGCCTACGCCATTTGCAATTTGTGTATTTCGAATAACCATCATGACAATTAATGTTAAACATTACAAAAAATCGCTTACCTCTGAGTTTATCCTCGCTGTTGGTAAGTTAACAAACAAGATGCTTTACAAAGAGCGCGGGTTACTGTTACCACAGCAAGATTAATTAACAGATTTGAAATACAAATGCACATCCCTTTCGTTTGTATTTGAGATATTAATTTTCGGGGCTGAAATGAGAATTACAAATTGTCTTTCACATGTAGAGACCTTTCTACTAATAAATTGATAATTATGCACACATGCGCACAAATGGCCTTGGCGGCAAAACGTGTGAGTGGTTCAGCATTTTAGTTAACTCTTCAGTATAACACTGAGATTCCCTGTCAGAAAATGCACCTTGCTTCAACGCCATAGCTCCGCTCTCATGGTTGCCTGCTGAAACCACTATCGTAATCCATTTGCGCACGCCCGTGTGCACAAGAAACAAAATTTTACACTGAGAAACAACCAAATAAACTGAGGATAGCAATCCATTACTGAGCATCATCCTTTTAATCTTGACAAATGGTGGCACTTTTCAATAATGGATGCCTTACTCCCCCCCTTCCCATCTCTTCCTCGGGAGCTTATACATATTTCATTTTCTTCTTTACACGTCAGTTTTGATGAATTGATCTGGCGGCCCGACATTAAGGCGCACCGCGTTCGCACGAGATAGTCTGCCCGGAACATTCAAGGTCGGGGTCGACCGAGCAGAAGATGACGAATTTTGCTGTGGTTCGGGAACTGAAGTATGTCATATCAGGTATTACGGGAAGGCTGTTGGGCGGTGAGCAATGATAGAATAATTACACTTCGCGTGATTGTCCCACGCTTTTCCCACAGACCAGATTCAATCCATGGGCGTCCATTAAAAGACGGAATCTCTCATTCTCCTCCAAGCTGTTGCAAAAAAAGAAAAACACCCCTCCTTTTTTATGAGAACTCGCACGCAACAAACTAAGGATGCCTTTCTACACTGAAAAAGCGAGAATTACTGGAAAAATCTCCAGACTGAATACGCCTTGGACAGCGCAGAGCATAGTAATAACGGCGAGAGCTGCAAAGTGACGAAGGCGGCTATCCAAGATTACCAAATTTAAAAGTTGGGAAAACGAGCGAACTCCCTTGGCGGATAAACGTCATTCCGAAATGTTTTGCACCGGTAAAGTTCAATTCATTGCAACTGTCCAGTGTTCTTTTCCCCTGCTATCAATGTTCATATTTAATTGCTGAAAGGCGAACTTTCTCAGCGAGTCAGTTTACTGATGTTCCGCGTTCCCTACATAGAATGATCTCATATAATGTTTATCCCATTTTACATAGAAGTGACTGATTTGGGGAACTTCGGGACTTGAAACATAGGTGCCGGGAAACATTGGGTGGATCGCATTTTCACCTACTTGTGCAAGCATACCCCCCTTCCAGGTTTTACCCTCACCCCCCCACGCAAACACACTTCGTACACATTGGATCCGCCTTGGATCATGATTTTTCCAAACATTAATCTCTCATCCCTCTTACAATCTCACATGCAGTCATTTCCATGGAAAAAAAAAACACTCCCCGGAAAAAGAATCTGACATTTGGCCGTTAGCTATTTGGCTAAGCATGGCTTGTATCCTAAGTTATCCTACGTTCATATTTCTGTCTGTGGATATTATATCATTTCGCCTTCGAACAAGATTCTGTTAGGATCGAAACGCTGACATTCCTTCTTTTGTAACATAACATCTTCAGGGTCCATTCAAAGAGCTAAAGCCGATGGTATATGAAGTAATTATATGGAATCTCCCCTCTGACATCAAATACTGTAGATGTCAGATTTAATTGTTAATGGGGTCCACTGATTCGGATTTAATCAGTTTCGGAAGAGATGTTCGGCCGCCAGTCTTGAGAATTATAAGCTACAGTGATCGCGCGCACACAGAAATAAATCACCGACACGTCTTCAGGGGCAGTTTTTTTTACCCGCGACAAATTTGACACCTGTGGATTCGTGACGTCCGCAATGGCCAAAGTAGAGTCTGTTGGTGGGTATTTGAGTGGATAAAATAATGTCTGACTGGACTAGCCTCTACTGTTTCTTGTTAGTGGGGATCATATTAACCCCATTAGAGGTGCCTTGTCAGGTCTGCATTTGAATTTTCATGTATCTCTACCGAAAAAGATATGATGCTATGAAACAGAAGGAGACTCCAGTCTTTTGATGCATTGTTAGAGAGCCTGAGATACCTCAGAGGGTTGGGGTAAATTAGGAAATTTATGATAAAGTTTTCGATGTTTCCAACAGGATATTCGATTCTGATGAAATATTTCCAAGAACTCAGGCGACTGTCAACCGTTTCAATTTCAACTTGTGAAAAATACCTTTCTGCTTTCCTCGAGAAAGCAGACTTGAAAACAAATTGTGGCTTAATTCACTGTGTCGCCTAACTAGGAATGACAGGCCTATTTACTGATTACGTCAAGCTATATTTAATCTAACGGACTCACCAGTACAGTCGCGTCCAGATTGGAAGGTTTTGTGGCAAATGGTTATTTAGTTTCATGGATTTGAAGGGCGAAAAAGGGATGGGGATTTTGACTGCCACATCAGCCCTGGAAAAGTTAATGAATGGTTTCATGGCTAGGTCATGATCATAGTATTAGTGAAAAGAGACTCAAAAACTACTAACATCGAAGGTGAGATTTCATATTGCAAAGTGATATCACAAAGCTCATCTCCACGGTGCGTATAGAAAGCACATTTATGTGGAATTGTCACACGCTTGTAGCATTAACGTCGAAACATGGGATTTCAGAAGCGATTCAAAGCCTAGAGGAGACATGAATGTTGTAGTAGAATATGGAGATAAGGAATGATCCATCCTATTCAATCATTGAAGCACCGCCTCAGAGATGAAAAGAATATGGAGTGCCACTTGAAGAAAGTGAGAAAATTATTAATACGTTCTGGCTTATCTCAAACATACTATACGCACAAAAGAGATGCATGGATATCGAAGGTTAACAAAGTAAGAGCTGATGGAAATGAGACGTCTCTTTAAGGCGTCTAAAATGTTTCAGTCCTGAAATGAATGATTTTAGAGGGCGCATTCTGTTAAAGATGCAATCGTGGTAAATTGTGACCGCCAGACCCCGAAACCCTACATTACCTTTGGAAAAATACGATATATATAGTATCGACAACTATATACACACTCTACTGCCGTAGAAAATGATGTCTTGATATTTTTTTTTTCAATATCGTAACGGGCGTCCACTTACTACCAGTGACGTCTACCCAATGCAATAGAATCACTGTTACGGATACCAACACAAAGTCTGTACTAAGTCTGGTACATGTGGGTAGATAACCACAGGATTTGCGTAAAAACATGTCTTGTTAGACACCCTCCTTAAAAATCTCTCAGGTCACCTGTAGAAGCCACACATATTGGCCGTGCCAACAGGAAAATAGGTGGAGGCCCAAGCTTTAACAATGAGCAGAAATGCAAGTATTCACATTATAATTTTCCGCCAAATTCACAATTGTTCTGCCCAAATAGTTAAGTTATACGTACTCGTTCCAATCAGTTGATAAATACTTCATCATCGGGTGAATCCCAGTCTTTATTTACATGTCACAGTAACCAGAAACAGTGTCACTGTTAGGCGCCAAAATAACCAGAAATACGGCAATTCCGTATTTGAGGTATGCCTTTTCCTAGAGATACAGGTTTTAGAAAGATGTGACATGTATGTATCAAAATCGAAACTCTCTAATTTGCAGTCCTTGGAATTAAGGACTTTCATTGAAATAAAAGTCCAGCCGACGGCAGTATTGCACTTGAGTACATCATGAGGATTCAAGAATCCCCACAAGATTATCATGAGTCCGTCTCATTCAGTCTCAACTAAAAATCACATGTATACATTTCTAATAGAATACAACAGAAAACCATGGAGCTCATGCCCTATTACTTGCGACTGGATGCGCAGCATTGAAGTGATCTTAAATTGAATTTAGATGGACTTGTAGCAGATCTGACTGTAATGGATGTGACTCATGCGATCAACCAGATTCTTGAAACAACTTACATCTCCAACTTACCACAAATTTGGTAGGGGTGTGCACTGACAAGAAAGAGACCTCCGATCTGTCCTCGGGAATTTTGTCGGCACACCAACCTGTCAGCCTAAAAATGCTGAACCCCCAATGCTCGAGTAGTTGAGCGTCGCTCTTTCGTTGCCAGTCAACCCTGCACGGCCCGGACATAGGCGAGGAGACGCGGCAGTCCACTTTGATTTCCCCGACTCATGTGGGCCTAATCACTATAATTCGCGGGCTTTTACGCTATTAACTCCTCCACACCGGTGTGCTGCACGCCACGGCAGCCACCACATCGTATCGCGTGTTCTGAATGGCAAACTTCTCGACTCCCCGTGTCACCGCCTCAAACAACTTTGCGTTGTTGCAAGGTTTTCGTTTTTTATTTTCTCTCCTCGCAGGAGCAATTTGCTCCAGTGACAAAAGTGCACTATTTTTCTTTCAACTGATTTCTTCCGGCGTTTAATCGCACTGGGAAGTGCGACGTCTACATTCCTGAATGTAACACTGGTGCACGACAGACAACTCTTCTACCTCCAGTGCACGTAGAGATATCGTTTTTTCCTTTTCAATTTGTCCTTTTCGAGCGCAAATGTAATATTGCATGATACAGTTTCAATTGTGGTTGTTTTGCATACTTGACTGCGAGGGATCACACCACGGGGTCTATTTCAACAAGAAATTTGCCAAACTTGCTTAAAGTTTTATTTCCATGGTCCTTTTTATGTGACGGTTTCCCCTTCCCGGTCAATTGATGGAAAGCTCAGACATTGAAACTGTTATGAAGTAAAGATTTGGCAAGATTGAAAGGGAAAATATTTCACAATAACTATGTCATTAATAGTACTCTTTGACAATGACAGTTTCAATGATATATTGATGTAAATATGCCTTTCTTTGAAATTACATAAACTAACTAACATAACTACCTGCCAAAATGATATTTTTATTTGCAGCGTAATCTCTCCCATATCTCGTCGTTTCATCAATGTGGCCTAAGATTCGCTTTAATGCCCTTATGTCTATTTCATGTCCATGATGGCTACAAAAGATAACAATAAAGTTATTATGCATACGTACTGTTTTGTCCGAATAGAATTAGTTCTGTTTGCCAGCGTTAACGTTTTTACCACGTCAATGTATTGGCTGGGGGTCTGCAAAGCTGCTTGAGACTTGAATTGCGTTCGCCAGTCTAAAAAAATGTATTTGATCGACATGAGTAGGTTCTAATACTGTTTCGTATTGGTTTAAGAAAGCTGATATGAACCGGGACAAATACCATGTGGTATCCTTGCTATGTTTGTCTGTTCTCTATGTAATTTTTATAGCTGGAAAACTGCATGTTGGAGTGTCACTCTGGTCCCAGCTGCAGCTGAAAAGTGCTGTTAATAAAATGGTAATTTGGATACTCCTTTTCGATTTTTCAAACTTTCAGTTCATGCACCTAACAATATCGAGCTCTGAGCTCTCAGTCATTCAGTAAGTGTGTTGTAATGAAAAAAGTCCATGAAATGAGCAGGAATATTAACCCGTCTTATCAAAAGGAAAAAGGAAATGGCATTTTTAACAAGCAGTGTCAAATTCTCAGGGGAAATCATTTACGAGAGTGAATCAGAAGTCTAGGAATAAAGAAAAAATGCCTTTAATCGATACTGCCAAAATATCTTTACAGTAACGAATGGCCTCAACCGCAACTGATCTCGCGCGGAAAACAACGTATTAAATGAAGGCTGGAATCGATCATCTCGATAATGATCATTTAAACAACCTCTCGAAACCGATAATTGCACAGAGGTTGGCTGAAACTCTAGTCAGGGGCCCAAGTTATCCTCTCCTTTACTGAGTAAACGACAGCGCGGCGCGAGGGGGATACCAGACTTTACCCTGTGGCGCTGCCAGGAGGTCCATTCAATCTTATGACAACGGTCTATTATGACAGAATCAATATTATTGTGTCCACTCACAGTGCCTCACAAAATATCATATTCTGCCTGTCGCACTGAGGGCATCAGACTTCGTGCTTCCGTGCCCAAACCAAACGGCAACGGAAAATAAGCAGACGAGAGTAGGGGTCCAAAAAACGCGGAAAGCATTATACGCGCCACAGCCTCGCTCAATACTCGTTCACAGCGGTAAATATTACATGCAAAAAGAATTGATGCGTGTCACTTTGCAGTCCAGCTTGTAATCATCTGGCGCGCTTGGATGAATCTACAGCCGTCCAAGGTAGTGAATGATATCCCAGCCTCGTGGCAGATCAAACGAGCCCTCCAAATGAATAATGAAATTGAGTGGAAAAAGATAATGTTAAGTCTAATATTGAAAACAAACACTGACATTCAAACAGTCGTTTCCGTTTTCCTCATAAAAGTAGTATTGAAATATCTATTAATAATGAAATACCTTGATTTAATGTTTAAGCTAGAAGACTCAATGATTGAATGTTGCCCACAACAACGACAGCAATGATGTAGCAATAGGTAATAAATGACTTGCAATGTTAGTGATCATCTTTGGCTAATTTTTGTTCACTTTTGAAAGCTGAATCAACGTATTTTTATGTCCTTCGATCGTCAAATAAAATTTCATCCTGTCAAATGAGATTACATACAATTCATATTTATATATCTGATGTTAGTATTTTTAAGTGTCCAAACAGGTCTATTGTTTTTTGTCCTTTTACTCCTAGTGGGACCCCATTTGAGATCACGTCTAATAACATGACTGAATGTATCACTGTATACAAAAAAGAGTACTTGTAAATAAATAAACAAATAAATATATGTTCAGCTAACACTAATTTGGCTGTCATGCTAGAAATTAGCTGCCCAGCGAAATGGCGTAGCTGAGCCACCGCACTGTTTGCACTGCAAGTTGTGCGCCAGGCACGACACTGACGCGTGGATATACTGTTTCACGAAAATGTTCATACATTCGTTGTCAGTGTAGCAAAATATTAATCATAACACCAAACAAGCCGTGTTCTCTTAGGTTTCAGTAGAGGTTAATTCGGTCGTATAGACAGACAGTTTTTCTACTTTCAGTTTGCTTAACTTTCTGTTAGTGTTTCAATGCTTAGCGAAGTTATTGTCTGCATTAAAGACGATGCTCCTTTTTATCGGGATTAAACAGTGTTAGGAAAAACACTGCATAGAAATAGGTGCATAAACACAAGAGGAGTTGGACGACATATCCCAACCTCTATATCCAGTGGTGATGGGACATTGAAGTGACCAAGTGTTCAGTATTTAAACTGACAAACATTTGCAAAAGGGTTTTTAAAAAGTACATAAATAATAATAAGCAAACAAAAATAATAACTAATGGAGAAAAAGTGAAATAACGTATAAGGTGCAACGCTTTTTTCGACTTATTTGCGAACTCGGAAATTTCAGAATTTTTCCAATGTATGGTCCTAATCTCAGGTACTGGACTCAGTCAATGCAAGATAAAGGCGTGTTGATCTATACAAGAAGGCCTTTGCATAGCACATGGGGCTGTGATATATTCCGTGAAACTACATTTAATTCCAAATCAAGCGGCAACACCAGTGTTAAGGATACGAATTAAGACATAATAATAATAGCTTTATTTCAGATGGTAGCCATCTCATCCAAAAAGAAGATGGTGTTCAATGGGCCATCTATCAGAGTTAAGCTTTAGAGTAAAAGTCATATCTTTTTAAAATTACACATAGAACTAGAACACTATTGTTTATTAAATAATAAACACGACTATTAAAACAAATAAAAAAATGCTCTTGGAAAAATCTGCACGATGCAATCACATAAAATCCGTACACTACAATCGTCACAAAGCAAATGTAAACAGGAAACTGGAGAAAAAAAACCTTCTTTCTAGAACAAAGTTATAAAGCTATGAAGCACGGCTTGCATATAATAGGTCTTATTTGTTCGAGCTAAACCTGTTTGTCCGATCAAAATTATACACCAGCAATGCTGTACTTCCCCCTAGTATAATGTTTATTTAGCTTCCTCCAGAAGTGATGTTGATGGTGATGACGTGTTACGATGGAGAGGATGAAAGAGGATGATCGACAGCTGGTAGGGAGGAAGGTGTAATTGAGACGGGGGAAGAAGGAGACGAGGAGTAGGTTAAAATTCAGCGATGCGTCGGTCTCTGATTGTATCCTTAGATTTAGTCTTAAATAGTGGAGTCCAATTACGGCTACTTCGGGTCTCTTTGGAGCAGTGGTTTGCGTGCATCCCACACCATGTTAATTGAGCTGCGTACAGTGTTTGCAGCTCGCCGTGCAGTGTTTAATTAAGATCTGGCATTTGTTAAATTTTCATGCTAATGCCTTCCTTATTCCAGACTTTTTTGACATTTGTATACCATGAAAGGTTTTTGTCCTGTCTGCAAGCACATATTCAACTCCTAACAGCTGAGAAAAATGCGCGATTAAGCCCTTAGTATGAAATATTTTAATAACATAGTTTAGACATTTAAAATATTAGGATCTGACTCTTGTCTCGAAGCCCTTGCCAAATCATATATTTTCTCTATTTGTAACATTTACCCCCAACAATAACCTCACTCGTGTAACAGTCACTTGTAAATATTTGTTACAGCTTTTGGCAAGGTGTTTTGGTTATCCTGAAAATTGGCTCAAGGCAATCGCATATAACGTTTTAATATTGTACAGTATCTATGAGGCTGAGCCATTTTCAACGTCATCCATGTTAATATGGTTTCCATATCGACGTAAGAAACGCGGACAGCAACACAATAAAGACGCAAACTGCCACGCGGACAAACCGGTATGGAAACGTGCTAAATTATTGAGGTGTCGCCCACAACGCGGATTAACTCAAACCAGCCCGCGACCAATTGGCAAAGTTGAGCCTGGCTCAACTTTGCCGAGTTCTGCGTCGAATAGCCGTAGTATCCCCATACAAACATGCATGCTGGCACGTTTCACTTATTTTGCTCATTTTATCTGTAATGCTTAAATTTACACCCTTATTATCAACCAAATAACTGACAATCAGTGAAATGAATGAAACTGGAGTACAGGATTGGCATCATGACTCGAGGCTTATAATCAGTCTAAAAGGGTAGCCTATTTTCTGCAAAAATCACGGCGTTTCGGATGACATTTTGTTTCGATTTTTGAGTGGAATGACGTCATGCACCGTCTCTTCCGTTGACGTCTGTGTCTCCTCGTCTAACGGACAGTCTGCGTTACAAACAACCATGTGGAAAAAAGGATTTACGGTACAGTAATCTGGTGCAGTTTTTAGCCAGGTCCACCGGAATCGCTGAATACCACTACATAGGCCAGCAAGTAATTCATTATCCTTACATCACAACACGTGCCCAAATAACTTCCATTGTCTCAATTCAGGTGTTACATTCTTCACAGTGGAATAGAAGATAAAGTCATTTGACTAGATCCA